GATTTTATGTGAGCCGCCCTGAGTCCCCTCAGGGAAAAGGGCGGCCTACAAATATTAATAAAATCTAAAAAAAAAAAAAAAAAATCTAAATAACCCAATGGCGGGTGGGCGGCCCCCTTTCAAGGGAACAAAGAACCGGTTCGGGAGACTCAGTCCAAATCGGTAGGAAGCAACCACTGGTGTCCACCCATTGACCTTAACCATCAAAATGCTTGTTCTATATTCAAGTGCATGCAGTTCCTGCTTTGTATTCCTTCACTCATTAACCACCTGTAAGTCTCCAACCCTGTCTTTTAAATAATCAGCTGAGATGCTGCCCCTATTCAATTCAGTGAGAGAGAGGATTATTTCATAATTACTTATGCTCAGCAGTCAGATCTTCCTTATTTAGCACAGTATTTTCTTCTATGGATTGAAGGCACTTTTCATGTTGCTCATCTAGGAATTTCAAGAACAAGACTAGGTGGAGAGAATTTCAGGCAGGATCGTCTCAGTGGTGGGTTGCAGGCGGTACGCCCCAGTACGGGCATATCGGAGCCTGCCCGGAGCACCAGGTACCGTTCCAGTACAGTGCTTCGGAGGGCTCACCTGCCCACCCTCGCTCCTTACCTATCCTTTAAGCCTTTGGCACTTCTGCGCACATGCATGGCATGTATGGCACATGCGCGACGCTCCACCGAGCAGCTGGAGCGTCAAGGAGGCTTGCAGAGGTGTCGCAGGCAGGTACGACGCATGCGCGCGCTGTGCGCGTCCATGTGGATGACGCCGGGCCCGTTCCAACCGTACCGATTGGAACGGGATCCAGAACCCACCACTGGATCTATACCTGGTACACTGAAATTATCTGCAACGAGTTATATTTTTGCATTGTGCGAAAGACTATGGATATGTTGCTTCTGACACAATCTCACATACATTGTCATGAATAAAAAGAAATGTAAATGAGAGGCAGCTGCCTGTATGGTGGATAGGTGCCAGGTTAAAAAATGGGGTAGTAACCTAGCTATAGTAAACTAGGGGTATTGGAAGGATAGTTCCATCCCCCCAACCAAATTAACTGTGCATCATCGTATGCTATTCATAAATCTCAAAGCAACATTGATAAGGGGATGGGGTTAACTCAGGATTTCTCAAATTGTGAGGTATGTGACGTATGCCTGCCTTGGGGAGGTGCAAATAGAGGCCAGAGGAGGTGTGAAGATTTTTTTAAATGTCTTTGTTGAAAATAGTTTAACTATTGTTTTTCTTGTTCATTTATATTCATTTGGTTTTTGGATTTTCAGGGAAGGTGTGTACATTAAGATTACACTGAAGGGAGGTATGATGGCAAAACGGTAGGAATCCTTGATCCAACAGTTAAACAAAACAATCAAATTACTCAAAAACAACATTAAAACATCAATGTCACTGTTAAAACTGCAGGACTGGATTGACAACTTTAAAATGACACTCTGTGAAAGGAGAGATGGGAAAATGTTTATTAGATTTATATTTTGCCTTTCATTCAAGAGGTTCGGCACAATAGACAATGTGCTAGCTTCTAGTTTTCTCAAACTTGTGAAGGTAGGATGGGTTGAAAGAGAAAATGCTTTATCCAAAATTATTCCCATTGGTTTAATGTCAATTTTCATCTCATCAGTGGTCAGAGGGGGGTTCCTCCCTGTTCGGACCAGTTTGGGTGAGCAGGTAGTGGAAAGTGGGCATGGGTTGCCAAACCGGTAGATGCCCCCAAACTGGTCCGCTCGGACACTCGCTCTGCCTTGCCTTCGCCATGTGAATCCACAGAACTACCGCCTCCTACCTACACACAAGTAAGCATTCACGCTAGTCTAGTCCCCCTCCCCACCGGCCAGCGTCTCCTGAAGCCATTGCCATTACAGCCCGGCAAGCTTCACATGCTGGAGAGGCTGGCAGCTGAAGAAGAGGGTGGCAGCAGGAGAGGGCAGTGGTAGCAGCAGGAGAGGGCAGCGGGCTCAGCTGCAGCCCAGATGAGCCAAGGAACTGCAGGGAGCCTCCCACATGTTGCACCCCCTCCCAGCCAGCTGCAGCATGGGCCCCACCTGGCAGGGAAAGTGGCGAGTGAGTGGATGGCTGGCCGTGACGGGCCTGGCCTTGAACACTCCATCTGGCATGGGCGATGGTGGTGAGCTGTAAGGGAAGTTAGGTCTGGGCTGGTATCCCTGCCTTCTTCTTCCGAGAGCCAGCTTGGGGGATGGGCAGCCTCCCCTGCCACTGCACCCTTCCCTCGCCATCCATGCAGAGCCTCTGCTGGTGGGGCACCTCCCATCTCACCCCACTTGCACCCCCTCTCCTCCAGAGAGCAGCCTGGGCTTCTCCTAATCAGCGGGTGGGCGGGAAAGCAACAGATGAGTGGGCGGGCAGCTAGGACTGGCCTGGCCTCCAACACTCCATCCAGCAGGGGTGGCGGCGGTGAGTGATAAGAGAAGCAAGCCCTGAGCCGGGAAAGCAAGGCTTCTTTGCCAGCCTCCCAGCTGGTAAAACAGAAATTTTTGCTGGTTCTGTGGGTGTGGCTAGGTTGTGACTGAGTGCGCATAAGTGATGTCACGTTGGCCATGCCCACTCATGCCCCCCCCCAGCCACATCCACAGAACCAGTAGTAAAAAAAAATTGAAACCCACCCCTGGGTCAGAGATGAGGATTATTGTAGTTCAGCAGTCACAAGTTCCCAAATTATAAGCTTAAGTGATAGGAAAAGCAAATAAATGCCTAGATAAGACAAGCCATTTGTTAACTCTAACCAGTGGTGGGTTTCAAAATTTTTTGGAACCTCTTCTGTAGGTGTGGCCTGTTTTCCGGTCCACTGTGGAACCTCTTCTAACCGGTTCGGTAGATTTGACGAACCGGTTCTACCGAACTGGTGCGAACCAGTAGAAACCCACCTCTGACTCTAACTGAAGCTAAACACATTTCAACTTGGCAAGTTGCCTGAACCCAGCCTATGATGTTGTTCATAAGCTCAGTGTGTTCATAATTGCAGAAATGATTGTAGATGGACAAAATTATAGTTAAGCTAATGATATCTAAATTTGTGGTGCAAGCCCAGCTGTTCAGAAACACTTGAGTAACACATACACTGAATTTGCTAGCTATATCCTACACTGTGAAGCTTTCTAAATGTACCAGCATTATCTCTAATCAAAAATGTTTTTATAATGTGTTTGAATACTACTGGAGTATATATACCATCATCTCCTTATCTGAGTAATCATAAGGCAATAAAAGCAGCCATTAAAACAATCAACCAATAAAACAATTTATTCTATTTATTCTATTCTATTTTACATCTATTTAAAAAACAGCACAAATAAAAACCTCAAACTTCCGTCAAAAATGTAAGCAATCTGACTTCTGGACTGTTAGCTTTTTGGGTAGCCATATTCTCACTTCTGGGAGCTGCCCAGAGTTTGTTATAAGATGGGTGACTATTATAAATGCTTTAAACAAATAAATGCATCCCCACATTGTAGACAACTTTTACCCCTAACAGAGGAAGCAGCTCCTTAGCAAATATTAATACTCAGGCAAGGGAAGACATAGGGAAAGACATTCCTTCAAACATAATAGTCCCATAACATTAACATTAACTGACTGGAAGCATAATGGAAATCAAGCAATTCCTTTAAAACCAGGAATGATTTTGGTACCAAGCCACCACTATACTTAGAATCAGCTTCAATTTGAATGTTCTCAAAAGTAAACCCAGGTGAAGTACACGAGAGTACTCTAAAATATATAAATCCTTGTATTATGATTAGGTCACAGCTCTACCACCAATGTGTGGACTCCTCATCAAATTTTCATAGCCTTCAACAGTGATCCAACAAGTACATTTTTCTATACTGTACTATTCTGGTCAGGGGTTGGTTGCTGTCAGCATTGCTGCCAGTTTGGTGCCTCAAAAATGTTGCACACGGGCGCTGCTTTGCTCACGCACACACCAGATGCGTGCTACGCGTGCCCGTGCATTTGCAAATAAAAAGGTCTGCGCATGTACAAAACCTTAACAAATGAAAAAAAAAATTTCCACTGAAAATTGTTCTGCACATGCGCAGAACCGAAAAACAAGATTGTGGCCCCTAGGAGAGCCGGTTTGGGGGCGTGGCAGTGACCCAGGCCACCAAGTTACTACCGGTTTGGCTGAACTGGTCTGAACTGGTAGGAACCCTCCTTTGATTCTGGTGATCTCAGCTAGCAGCTTCATATAGAGATTAGACTATAATCTCTATATTTTCAGTTTTTGGAATCAGCATATACCCAGTGTGAACTCATCACAGCCACCAACTTGTACCATTCATAGCTAGTGCAAAAAAAATTTTTATTTAAATAATTTATTTTCATTAATAATATTATACACAAACTGGAGAGAGATACAAGTGTCCTAGCAAGATGGCAATTACCTCATCTTCCTTCCCAATCAGGTCAAGTAAGACTACTTCAGTCTAGAATCCTTACCTTACCTTACCTCCAGAACATGAGTGAATGGTCATCATCCATAGATAATTTCTCCAAGATGTCTGAAGCTGATTGTCTGTCATCATCTCAGCATTTTATCTGGAAAGCAACTGGTTGGTTGCCTTTTATACCTGAGTTCAGGGAAATCTTTATCTGAAGAGACTGTACTATCGCTTTTCATAACCCCCTGCTCCTATTTAGATAACAACCCCCCTATCTTTTCAAACCAGCCAGCCAAATTCTTCTGCCAGCTTTTGTAAGCCAAATGATTAAGACTGCATATAGCGGAACAGATTGACTCAAGCATTTATCTTCTTTTTCAAGCCTTGCCAATTGAAACCAACAATCCCATATATGACTAGGAAATGCTTTTGATACCCATCTAGAAAGTCTTCAATAATAGTTAAATTCTGATTAGATACAAGAAACCTTCTCAAAGTTTCAAACCTAGAAAGTTTCAAACCTAGAAATGAATAAAGTAATAACTAGCAGCCAGCACGGGTTTGTTAAAAACAGATCATGCCAAACCAATCTTATTTCGTTCTTCAACATAGTGAGTAAATTAGTAGACCAGTGAAATACTATGGACATAATATACTTAGACTTCAGCAAGGCATTCAACAAAGTAGACCACAACCTACTTCTTCATAAGTTAGAAAAAAGTGGGCTTCATCACCAGATGAATTTACAATTGGCTGACAAACTATACTCAACGAGTAGTCCTTAATGGGTCTAAGTCTACATGGAGAGAAGTAAACAGTGGAGTACCGTCTTAGACCCAGTACTCTTCAATGTCTTCATAAACGACTTAGATGAGGAAATAGAATGGGAACTTACCAAATTTGCAGATGATACTAAGCTGGCAGGAATAGCTAACATCCTAGAAGATGGATCTTGACAGACTTGAACACTGGGCCCTATCTCACAAAATGAAATTCAATGTAGAGAAAAGCAAAGCCCTACACATAGGTAAGAAAAAAACAAAAGTACACATACAAACTGAGTGAGACCAGGCTTTTTTTTTTTTTGAAATGTGTTTTTATTTTCCATTTTCATTTCGTACAGTCACATATATACTGTGCATAACCGGGGCCA